TATGGAACTCGGAAACATCCATCTCCTCCTTTCCAGCAAGTCCGCAACTAGCTTTCCACATTCCTGCAGCAGCACAAGCTACAGCAACCGCCGTAGCAGCAGCAACGGCAGTAACGGCAGTAGAAACAGCACAGTTGTGTTCTCACTGCCGTTCGCTACCTGCAGGAAGGCGTTGACATATACCTACGAGACGCGTTTGCTGTGCATTGGCCTCGGCTGGTCGTTGGGACGAATCCTCTGCAGCAACGGACACCGCCTCATTCGAGGTTTGCTATATTTGTTTTGTTTTTGCACTTTGCTTTACAGTTTCTCAGTTGTTCTCTTCCTCTGGTCCACCCAAGCTGCCAAGTTTTCATTGACTCCACCTAATGCATTTGTTACCTACAGTCATATTCCTGTTCCCTGTAACATGTTCATACGTTTATTAACGAAGATTCACTCATCGTCAACTGTATACACACATGTATTCTACATGTAGACGTAGATGAACATAAGTATGCGTGTTGGTATAGTGCAATATATATTGGCGACTGACGCTTATATTCAGTTGTCAGCGGCTATGCGCAGTTATATGAACATATTTGTCTGTTGGCTGGCCAAGCATTTGTTCATTCAAATTAAAATGCATTTGCTGCAACTGTTTGGACGTGCAGCGCTTAGCAGCCCTTCGTTTCACTGGGACGGCGCTTACCACTCTATACAGGCTAGTTTGCTGCCGGTGAGTCCCTTTTGTTTTGATATTTCTCTGTAGTTCATTACTATATCTTCCGATAGTTCATCTTTTGAACACAAGGCGCAGATTGCGTGCATTGCAGTATGCGTTAAAAACACAGCACGCAGTGCATTGTACATGATTTTTGTTGGTGACGGAACGGAAAGCAAAGGCAAAAGGGCGCAGTATATGCGTTGCCTGTGTTTGGCAGATGTTTCTGCACTTCGTTCCCACTTATTTTGCAGCGATTTATTTTCTGTGCAACAAAACTGTACACATTTGGGTGTGCAGTTTTTTAGCTTGTGCTGCATACTCCATCGCTTATTACTTGTCATGTTCATTTCGTCTCAGTTGTCGTATTTATCTACCACTGCCCTCATCTTTATTTCTTCTCGACGCCACTTGCCTCCCAAGTCCCGGGCGGGTTTAGTCTTCCTGGCAGCCCTCCTGGCCCCGTGGACGTTAGTGCAGCAGTACGCTATTCAACCCTCTATATTAAAGTGACCCCAGGGCACTGAACGTAATTTTTGATGTTATTA